AATATATATACTTCATCCATTTTGGAAAGATAAATTACAAAAATAAACTCGGCAAAAATGAAAACATGAACCGTTTTAAAGAAGGAATGGAGTAGGTATTTATTACTTTTCCCGTCTCACAAAGATGTTCCTGTGTAGAAGAAAGATTTGAAATTGGATTACAATCCTGGATATATTTTTAGTAAAAAAGTATAATGTAATAGTTTGATTGAGATTAATGACTAGGGGTAAGAGTGACTATATAATTAATTAAAGATGGTAGATACAAACCGAGTGCGAGAGCTAAGATTATAATGGTACATAAGGTACTCCTCAAACTGGGCATCCCACCAATGGAGCCAAACAGGCCGCTGCAGACGACTAAAGGGCTCATATTTTTATTTGATCTAATCAATTACAAGTAGTAGTAGTAGTGGTGTTGTACTGAATATATATATATATATATGCATGCATTCGTCTCTCTTTTTATTATAGTGTTAGAAAATACTCCCTCCGTCCCCCTAAGATGTTCTCATTTTGACTTTTGGTGGTTTTTAAGGAGAGTTGAAAAAATGTGAAAGTTTACCATAATACCCTTAATGAAAAATGGGTGGAGTGTATTAAATGAGGTGGATGAGGTGTAATAAATAAAGTAAGTGGGTGTAGTTGTGGTATTTTAATTGTTAAAAAATGAAATGAGAAGATCTATTGTGGACAAAGAAAAAGGGCTATTGGGAAGATCTATGAGGGACGGAGGGAGTACTATATTATGGTTGTATATATGCTACGTATTTAATTTCACACCAATACCATTAAATTTCATACGATATTTATCTGTTATTACCCTAATACATATATCTATATCCATATCGGGCCGAGCTTTATATGGTTGAACATTTATACTTTTCTCATTCATTCATTATTACTTCTATATAATTTTTGGGCTTAAAACTTAAATATTTAGTTTTTCCAATTCTTTCTTCCACTTAAATATATCCACTTAAACTCTTGACAAGGTTGGCACTCCCTTCATTCCATATCTTTATTTACGTTGTGCAACAACAGATAAAAATATCAAATATCTTCAATTTATTTTATCTAAATATGGATATAGAAATAATAATAAAAAAGTTACATATTTAAAAATTGATTCAAAAAATTAATTAAACAAGTAATGACAAAAAAATATTTTATTCTCTCATACATGACGCAAGTCCCCCCACCCCCACCCCCTCCCATTGTAAACGATCTAAGACTAATTTTAAGGAATACCCTAACGATTTTAGACATGGACAATGGAAGAGGCCAATTAGATGGATCCAAATGTGAGATTGAACTCTTAAATTGTCTACTAGGGGTGAGCAAGGACCGAACCGATCCCGATATTTCCCGAAAAAACCGAGAATACCGAACCAAAAAATACCGAACTGATAAAGTACTGAAAAGAAACCGAACCGTACCAAACCGAACGGTCGGTCCGGTATTTGGGAATGGTACGAGGTTACTTCCCATACCGAAATTCCCGAACCGAACATATATACTAATATATTATAAAAATAATAATCTTTTTATATTTCTTCATTAAATAAAAAATTTATATAGACAATTTAGTTTAATTTCATTATGTTTAAGTTACACTTTAATAAGAGTTTTTTATTTTTTTGTAGATGAGTATAAGAATATTAAAAAAATATTTAAAATAATACTTTATTATCACTCGTTCTCCTTAGTATCTGAAACATAAACTAACTTTCATAAGCATTACTTGTATTTTATTTTTTCATTTTTTAATTTTTTTTATCTTTCTTTGGTTAAATGTACTTTTAATTTTCCAAAAATAAAAAGTTTTGTTACATTTTATGATGTAAACTAATTACGTATATATTCATCCCGATTTGTACCGAAACTGATACCAAATCATCCCAAACCATACCGAACCGATGCTTCGGGAACGGGATTGGTACAATGTAAAATCCCATACCGAACCAAAATATTTGGTACGGTATCGATACGAGCTAAATACCGTACCATACCGTACCACGCTCACCCCTAGTGTCTACTTGCCCAATATGATAGGGGCTCATTAATCATTACCATAAAGGGAGGTGCCCTACACACTCATTCTTCATCATCTTAAGGCACCTGGTAACTCTGTTAGCTTATTCAGATACGGGTATAATACGTATGTCTATTCGTACGTTCGTGTATAATACGGATAACTTTTTTAAAATACATCTTATTATACTTATTATATGTTTGGAGTACGGATACATTCATGTATTATACGTTTGGTTTTTCAAAAATACGGCTTTAATAATGAATGCATATATTTTTAATTAGAAACACATTTTAAACTTTGAAATTGAGTACAATACATCACAATGTTCTAAAAATTTAACCAACACTACGATTTATTATTTATTTATTTTTTCCATGTGTACCTAAAGAAGATCTTTCAATCTAATTATTATATTCTGTACTTCCACAAAATGTATTCAAAGTAAGAACACATTCTGAAAAATGAAGCCAGCATTTAGATATAAATAAAGCATTATAAGATATGACAAAAATTATATTATTAGATAATTTATATTTTACAAAATTGATTAAATGTTTATCATGAATTTAAAATTAAGATTTAAGTCTCTTTATAATTTAAATATGAACTTATGAAATAATGTTTTACACAGTTTAAGGGGGGTGTATTCAATCTAAATTTTAAAAGATTCTGATAGATTGTTTAAAATTCATGGATTCTGTAAACTCAATGGATTATTTTAAGTTTACGTAGAGTTAGATAGATTTTAATGTATTTTATCACCAGGATTTTATAGGATTATGGAAGATTGTTTATAATCCATAAATTATGTTTTCCTTTTTTCCTTTTTTTTCTTTTTTCTTTTTTCTTTTTTCTTCTTTCCTCCCCAGTAACCCTAGCTATCTCTTCTTCGGTCTTCTTTCTTTCCTACCGAGCCGCCGCCACCATCGCTTCCTCAACTGCTCTCTCGTAGTTGGCCGGCATCGCCGCCACGAATCTCATGGAAGTCTCCCGTCCTGGCAGCAACGCCGCCCCTTTCGCCACCCCGTCCCACACATCGTACGCCACCGACCCGCCTTGATGTTGCGTTCGCCGCTGGCGTCCGGCTTGAACAGAGATGTGTTGGATGGGGGAGTGCTGAAGAACGAGAAACTGATGCCAGGGAAGTCGCCGGCGAGCATTTCGACCAAGTTGAGCAAAGGCCTGATGCCGTGGTACCATGATGATTTCTCCATTTTATTGCCCTTCTAACAATTTTTTGTTCTTCTTTCTATTGGTTGAAGGTTGAAGAAGAGTAGAAGACACAATTTCTTCGAAGGTTGAAGAAGACACGTATTCTGCGTGGAGTTGCAAAATCTCTGCCTTTTTTGTCAGATTTTGGACTTAGATTTCAATGTATACCCAAAGCCTAAAATCCATCAAAATCCATGTTTTATAAGAATCTTTTAAAGTCAATTGATTTTTGAATACCATTAGATTTAGAAGAATATTTTAAAATCTGAATTGAATACACCCAGATTTTAAATGATTTTTTAAAATCTGAATTGAATATCCACAGACTTTTGAAATCCAAAAAAATCCTACAAAGTCCAGATTGAATACACCCCCCTAAGTCTCTTTAAATTTAGTCTATATTTTTTATTTTTAGAATACAGAATTTTATTACGAACTTAGATTTTTTGAATTTAGATCATACAAATAAAATCAAATTTGTAATTTTAAACATGGACAAATATTTAATCTTAAGAATTAAATACAAAAAATTGATCACATTTTCAAAATCTAAACAAATAAAGAAAATGTTGTTGTCAACTATTCGCTAGTGCAGATGCAATATTGGACTTTTAGCCGGACAAAGTCGAAGAGACTAGTAGAGTGTAGGTAACATTTTATTAACAAAAGATGTTGATGAATAACCTGAACTACGATCCGATTTTTAATACTTTTATGATAATTGAGTCGCCAAATTTTAAAGATTTATATTTTTGCAAAAAGACAATCAATTCATTTGATCTCATATGAATTTGACCCCAATAATTTGGTAGGATTAAGCTATTTGTACCCCAAGTTTTTATACCCCACTTTGTACCCCGCAGGTTTGCACCAACATTTTGTGTTGGTGTAAAACTAATTTTTGTTAATGCACCAACACTTTATGTCTGTAAATTTTTGTTAACGCACCAACACTTGTGTCAGTGTAAACCATCAAAATGTTTGTGCATAACTGTGGTGTACAAATGGGATACATTTTTTATGTAATTATAGCATGATTGAATTTTGTAATATAATACGTATAAAATTCGTAAATACGTTTGGGGTCAAAAATATGCATATTATACGTTCGTCCCATTAAAAATTCGTATTCGGAAGCATAATACATGTATCATACATATGGATGTATAATACGTGTATTATATGCGAATAAGCTAATAGAGCCAGGTAAAATGTTTCTTGATTGTGTGCTTGGCACCAGGTAAAATGTCCATGTTTTTTTCCCCAACAAGGAAAATATTTGTGGACAATGAATTCACATTTTTAAAAAAATGAATTCATATTCCCGAAAGAATTACTCCATATAAGTAGTATGAAGTAGTTTGTTTTATACAATTCCGTGTTAAACATTATATTGAATATATTCCACAACAAGAACTTGTTGGGTTATTTGGTGAAGGCTTTAGAGCTGTGGGCTTTAAGCCTGGTCGGCTAAAGGGAAGAAACATGGGGGGCCGGTTTTAGTTATTAATTAAAGGGCCCATTAGTTGTTTCTTGTTTAGCAAGTTGTTAACCCTAGTTTATATCTTATAAATACCCAATCATGTAACTATAATCTGTGAGCACCTAATAAAAGATAAACCCTAGTTGCAACCCGTGGAGTAGTTTACTGACCGAACCACGTTAAATCTCGTGTTCTTATTTTCTGCTATTTGTGTGTGTGTGTGTTTGTTCGCTTCCGCTTGACCGCCTCTGATCTCTGATTCCTAACAAGTGGTATCAGAGCCTTGGTTCGGTTAAACACACGGTTACACAGGATCAATCGCAGGAAGAAGGCTGTTCAGGATCGTTTTGCTGCTGTTTTGCTGCCGCGGTTAAGGGGCTGGTTCAGATCTGATCAGAGGCTGGTTCGGATCTGGTCAGGGGCTGTTCGGTCGGTTTTAGGTGAACTTGGCGATTAGGGTTTCTGGTTTTGGACCTGGTACTCGTTGGTTCGGGTTCTTTGTTTTAGGGTTTGTTTTCTTTTGGAGGTTGCTTGGTTTCAGGCCGTTATTCCTTGATTTTTTCTCTGGTTTTTTTT